CCTGTTTTTCAATTTGTAATTATTGGGAGCATGGGATATATTTTTAAAAACTTATTTAAATTCCTCTTATATATGTTCTAATACATAATACATATATATGCTTTTTTTCATTTTTCAGCTTTATTAGGTAGAATTGTTGCAATTTGACTGCACATATACAATATATTTCATGTAAATATATATATATACAATATGATTATGCTGTTTATTCTTATCTTCAATGTAGTTCCATATGCAAAAAAATTTTTACAGGACCCCATGCAGTGTATATTTTTCTGTATACTCATCATTGAATGGAGATCTATCCATGACAACTCTAAAACATTGGTTTCATGAATCCTTGAGTCTCCTTACTGTTCTCTGTCCTCTCTTTTAGTTTCATAGCAAGAAGGAGGCTTGATACACATGGAACCAGTGCAATTACTGGTGCCTTCCTGGTTGAACCTTTCTTTGCTCCTGCTGCCTACTTCTCTGACTACTGAGTAAAGTAATTTATTTTCTAGAATATGAGGCTATCTATAGTTTGACTATGCACAGTCCATGAAAATTTTTACCCCCACTGTGTGCTCAGAGCTGCTAAGCACAGGTTTTTCTTATTCCTGACCTCCGGAATGCAATGCTTTATACTTGTCCTCTACCCCAAGGACCTGTTGAATATAAGGAAATTTTAATCTCTAATTGCTTAATAAGAAGTGTTAATGATACTTAATTGAGGAAATAGTTAGGAAGAAGACAGTGGTGGAATTTTTATGTAAAGACAGTTGCTAATTTTTAGACAAGAGCACATTATGGCTCTCTGAGCTAGAAATAAGACACAGTGGTAGTAGGTCATATCCTTTTCCAATATAGTTTTGAATCATTCTGTCTTTCCGAAGGGTAAGGTGTAACAGGCCAACAGCTGTTTTTCATTCAAGTCCAATCAGTGCTTTAATTAGAAGAAATTTCTCATAGCCTGGCAAGTGGTTAAATATTATCCTTAATATCAAATATTTTCATGAATAGCTAGTATACACTGGACTTAAATAAAAAGAACATTTAACTTAAAGGTGAATTTCAAATTATAATTCACTCAGTTTCCTGTATCTCAATTAATCATTATAAGAATAAACTTACTAAACACTTACATTAATGCACAAATGGAGAAACACTGTAAGGAAATGTAAATACTTTATAATTCTCCATTTACACCTTTCTTACCTAGGGATTTGATATTCATTTTAAAATCATAATAGTTCAAGTGCCCAAACTGAACCAAGATTTTCCTTTTGTTCCTGCCTATAGTCTAGTTCAATGGGATACTTTTGACACTGTTTGATTTTGCTTTAATGACTTTAAAAATTAATTCTATATAAGATATGACTCTGCTGAATTTGGGAATGATACCCTAATTAATATCATATTAACCTAGTAGTTTCTGTATTGGTCTGCTTTACAATATATTTGATTTGACAGAGTACAGTAGCCTGTGGCTTACAGTCAGTGAGAAGTTTCCAGCCGTCATTTCCAGCAGTTAAACCTGCGCTATGAGCTCTGAATAAGGTCTCTAGTTTATTGATTAGATTTGTTGCTTCAAGATAGTTTTGACATCTGAAATTGCTACATACAATTAACATCCTTAAAATTATAACAGAGTCTTAAAATGATTTACACTTATAAAAACAACAGGCTCAAATTCTTCCAAGGTATTATTCCTAACTTTCTGTATTTTAAGGCACCAAAGGTTTTGGTATACAAGGGAAAATTTGCATAGGAAGAATAAAGGCTAATTTTTCAAATGTCAATATTTTAATATTAGTCTACTTAAATAAATTTTAGGAAAAGATCATCTCCTAGTGATCTAATGACATTTGTGTATTAATATTTCTATGTTATAATACAAATACACTATAAGCAAAAGTAGACAATTTTCCACACAGTAAAATGTGTATAGTAAAGCATTTGTACAAGCTGTATAGTTTTAGAAAACTATAGAACTGGTTTTGGATTTTCTGTTCCTGAGTAGGGCACCATTTCCTACTGAGTGCCATCAAATCACTGAGTATACAATACATAGAACATTCAACCTTGAAAAAGGCAAAAGATTTATACGATCTAAAGAGAAACCAGAGTATTAGAACATTCAGCCTTGAAAGATAAAACAGGAAATGTAAAACTCTATACAAAACCCCTGTGTTCCAGTTTTGACTTTGAAAGTTTATTTAATTAAATTTTTTTTTCTCCTCATCTCTAACAAAAAGAGAATTGTGGGTATTTTTCCTTCCCCTCTTAACTCAAGCTTTCTATGATCCTGCATCTCTAAATTAAAAATAAAAATGTCAAATCTCATTAATTCTGAGATATATATCTTTTTATGTTTCAAAAACTCTGAATCAGGATACATTCACAATTGATGGCAAGGTTTTTTTTCTTCTGTAGTGATACATAAAATAATGGTGTGTCTTATAATCCATGATATCTCAGATTCAATGAAATGATATTACAGTTGTGTGAGACGTGGGCTTTGAAGTAAGCTAGTTAACCACAGTTAATAGCTCTTCAACTCCTCTCTAATCCTTAAATCTTAACTTTGGCAGGACCAAAATATTCCTCAGGATGTATCCCATGTGATAACCAGAATTATCATAAACCTTAACAAGACAGATTAAATATAAATAGAAACAAGTCAATGGTTTTGTTCCCGTTTAGCCTGGGCATAATAGAGCAAAGATCTATGTCAGGATAGAAAGGGTAAAGTTCCTCTTAGAAGCATTTTTCTAGACATGCAAGAGGCAGGTTTCTGATTCCAGAAAAAGGAAATATATCTATTCATGCCTCTGTTATGACTTATATTCAACATATGTGTAATTTTTATATGACTAAATTAAAGAATAAGATACCAACTTCTCTTGCAATTTCTGCCATTTCATACTCACAGATCTGAGAAAATGTAGGAAACTGTGTAGTCTTAAACTAGAAAAATTAAACTTAAAATCAAGAATGTTTAACATTAATATTCTTTGGAAATTTCTCCTATCTGACTACCACTCTATCCTCTATTAGAATTATCCAAGGAGTACAACTTCAGTCATTTGTGTTTATAATGTCTATATACAATCTGTAACTGATTATCTAATATGGCATAGCTATTTCAGCTATTTCTAGAGAAGTATATTTGGAGAAAATGGTAACATAACAAGAAGTCTGTTTTAGAAGATTTTGATACTATAATAAAATCTCTAAAGTAACATTTAGTAACGCTTTAGGCTTTGATATTAGGTTGAAATTATGGTTTTACTCCATGTTTGCAGTGGCAACAGCAGTGAAGAAATGCAGTGAGTGGTGAAGGCATGAGGGGATGAGAGAATAGGGAGGCTCCTTAAAGTAGTTTAAAGCTACTTAAAGTTGGTATGGAGTTCCAACACATGGGTTGGATCAGAAGCAAAAACATGAGTGTGAAATAGCTAACCTCCATCATTTTGTTATACAGAGTACACTGTAAGCAAGGTTCATATTACCATTATAAGTTAATCAATCTGGGTTCTTTATTAGACATATAGTAACATTTCCCTAAGTGATGATGTAAGAGTTTCACTAAGAAACTAGGTCACATGGGAATAAGCAGAATTCTCTGCTATAGAGTAGATAGTTGAAATATATTGAATATATAAGTGGATCTAACTAGACTATCACTCTTGGCCTGGATCTGATGTAGGATGCATGAGCACAATTCCTAAAGTGAAGAGTAGATCATTAACTGTCTTCATTTCCCCACGTAACACTTAGCTACATGTCATTAACATAACATAATAAAAATATGAGTATATGAAATATCCAGGAAAATTCATAGAGACAGACAGTATATTAGAAGCTACCAGGGACTGGGGAGAGGAGAGAATGGGAAGTTATTGCTTAATGGGTACAGAGTTTCTATTTGGGGGTGACAAAAAAGTTTGGAGATGGTGGTGATGGTTGCACAGAAATGTGAATATAATTAATACTATTTAGTTGTATATTTAAAAATGGCAGATTTTAAGTCATATATTTTATGACAGTAAATAAAAGTTTTGACCACTTGTGGCTTATAAATTGCTTAAAACTAATTAAAAGAAATTATAGCTAATTTAGAATTGTATTTCCTTCACATGAAATGTTTCACTAATTCTGTACTTCTGATCACAAATGTGATATAAATAAATATCCAAAGTTGTTTCTTTTTAGAAGAGGAATTTGGAGAACTTGAAATATGACTGAAGAATGACAGAAAAAAATCAAAACCAACTTCTTACTTTGATCGGTTCGGGCTGCATCACAGGTGCAGGCATAGCAATGGCACTTGGAGCATAAACCTGGTGGTATGTTGCTTGAACTCCATGATCAGAATAAGGCTATTACAAAAACAAGGAAAAATGTTGTTTTTCATTTATTAATTAAAAATATTTATTCAGCATTATAACATACTAGACATTTTGCTACACAATGGAGAAACGCAGATGAGAAGCACATTCCCTGTCTTTAATTAACTTAAAGACTGATATGGGACAGACTAGTCAAAATTACCCTAAGACCTATGAGACACACAGGAATGCATGGGAGAAAAGAACAGAATTAGTTGATGTAACTTAAAGCTGGGGAGGTGGTCAGGGAAAGCTTTCTAGTGGAGTTGATGCTTGAATTTGAAGAATTCGGGAAAGAAAGTGGAACCAATATGTGAAAAAGCACAGAGGCAACTAAGAACACACCTCATTTGGGAGATCTGTGAGGTTGTTTGGTACAGCTGGAAGGAAGATTATACACTAAATGACAGCTGAAAGATGAGGCAGTGGAGTAACAGGCAGGGAATAGATCATGTAAAAGTAGATTTATGGCTTGTCCAACAGATCGTGGTACCGTTCACTGAGATACGGAATACAAGAAACACAAGGTTGATGTTTATGTAATTGTGAGTGGTTTGGAGTTAGGTTTGTAACATGTAAAAGTTGAGGTATTTGCAGGACTTCTAGTAGAGGTATACTGTTGATAGAAAGCTAGATGGCTCTATAGAACAGCACTAATAGAAATATTATGTGAACTACATGTTAATTAAAATGAAGACAGTCAAAAGGTACAAACTTCTAGTTATAAGTAAGTTAAGTACTAGGGATGTAATGCACAACACGATAAATAGAATTAACGCTGCTGTATGTTATATAGGAATGTTAAGAGAGTAAACCCTAAGAGTTCTTGTCATGCACAAATTTTTTTCCTAATTCTGTACTTTTGTATCTGTGAGATGATGGATGCTCACCCAAACTTACTGTGATAATCATCTCATGATTTATGTGAGTCGAATCATTATGCTGTAAACCTTAAACTTATACAGTGCTATATGTCAATTATATCTCAATAATACTGAAAGAAAAGAAAAATTTCCAGTAGCTATGTTAGAAAAGTAAAAAGAAACAAATAAAATAAATTTTTGGTAATAAATTTATTTTAAACTGATATAGTCAAAATATATCGAAGTGTAATCAACATAAAATTAGTGATAAGTAAAAGTTTTACATTCATTTTTCATACTATGTCATCAAAACTTGGTGTGTATTTTGCACTTACAACACTATTGAGACTAGCCACAGTTCAAGTGCTAAACAGCCACATGTGGTAGTGGCTATCGTTGTACTGGGCAGTGCAGGTCTAAAATTCAGGAGTGAGGCTTGGGCTAGAGACATGGGTATGGATGATAACCTCAGAATGAGTATGTAGGGTGAAAGAATGGAGAATCAAATATGAAATCATGGGGAGCAAAAGATCAGCTAACAAAGAAAAATAAGGGGAGGAAAAAGAATTGCCAGAAGAAAGCAGTATCATGGGAACCAAAGGTAGGAAGAGTTTCAAGGAGTATGTCCAATGTCTCTGAGAGGTCAAGTAAGATTAAAAAGAAAGTATTTGGCAGTTAGGGAGTCACTGATGACCTTTATCCAAGCAGCAGAAAGGTAATAAAGCAGACTTCAGCAGGCGAGGGGTGTATGGGTAGTGAGGCAGTAGAAACACTGAATGTAGACTACTTTTTCAAACTTGGCTTTGAAAGGTATAAGAGAATTAGGGCATCAGTGGGGGTGTGTCACAGGATAATAATTTTCTTCTACCAGGAGCTAGACACTGTATCAAGAACTTCTGTATACAACTCTAATTTTTTCATCAATCCTGCAAAATAGATTTTTCTGATGTCTTTATTTTACAAATGTGGACATTATGAAGCCAACACTGTGAAGAGTTAAGTAATCATCCAAAGTGACATACTAGTAAGTGGTGAAGCTATGAACCAATGGAGAGAAAATGAAATACATGAGAAAAGAAGGATAATAGTGGAATAAGGTCTCTGAGGAAGAGGGAAGCGATAGTATCCAGAGCAAAGAGGCAGAAATAACCTTGGACAAGAAAGGTTACTTAAAAAGATACAAGAAGCTAAGGATGAGTTATGATTCAGGTAAATTTGTATTTTGGGGGCTGGAAGCTGAGGTGGTTTCCACAAAGTGTTCCCTACCTACTCTGCAAGGTAGAAGGTGAAAGCTATATTCTAAGAGTGAAGGGGTAAATTAGCCACTGATACAAGTGAGAAATGATGCTAATTTATTTTTATATTTTAGGAAATCTAACTATAAAACTTGTAAGAATAAGCCCTATGTTTTTTAAATTTAGGGAAAAAACACTTAAAATATAAACTACCCCACCCTATTCATTAATTTATATATTAGACTTATATCTTCTACCAGAAATAATAATAAATTAAAAATATGCTTATATTATTTTGTATGGAAGTATCATAAAAATTAACAGTACAGTTATAACCTAACATAAACAATATTTCCAGAAAAATCTTATTAGATTCCATTAAATAGTGAAATATAACCTGGTAAGTTATCTGATGTAAGAAATTAAGAATGCAGTTTAGTGTCAAAATAGATTATGGCTAAAAATCTAATATAAAAGCATTCTTACCTCACTGCTCCCCCAGCCCCCGAAAACCAGAAAACAACAAAGAGAACAAAAGACAGATTTTTTAAATGCCACCATCAAGTAAACAAGGAAGTGCCCATGATCCCCAAACTACAAACAATGCAGAATGTCTGTCAAATGCTATGCAACTTGGACCAATATAAAGGAGGATTCTGAAGCCTGAGGAAGGTTATGATTTCCCTGAAGGTCAATGTTTTGAAAGGTCTATTCAAAGATTCTTTATAGTCTCAAGTGAAGGGGTGTGTCAGGCCAAGGCATAAGCAGGAAAGATCACCACATAGATCTAATTTTACTTAATAGCAGAGGAGGCAGAACTGAAGGAGAAATCATGCTTTCACTATTTCTGTGATCTGCTAACTTGCATTACAGCTGAGGGACATGCCAAAGGTGAAGCAGGGTGAAAGTGGAAAGTGAAGTAGCAATTACTATAACCCAGTACAGAAAAATCTATAACAAAGGAGATTTTGCTAGGAGACAAGTGATCTCCAGAATGCTAAAAACTGGCAGAAGAGCATCTCAGGCAGGAGACGTGGCCGACTTGGTGGTAGGATATTTGAGACAACAGCATGCTCCTCCCACCCTGTATTTCAACAAATAGCTGGTCTCATTTAAGAATTAGCAAAGATAGGAAGGAAAAGGAAGCAACCTGAGACTTTTCATCCTCTCCAACTCCATCAAGGGAAAAGCAGGAAGGGGGAAAGAAAAGAAAATAGTAGAACAGTTCAGATAAGTATAATTCTTTTGATCTTAAAGAAATTATAATAACACGATCTCTAAAAAGAGCTTCAAAAAGATATTTTAAGTTAAAAGACATTTATAGGCAATGATGTAAGCAAAGTATCAGAGTTTGGGATTAAACAAAGCTAAAAATAAAATAGAGATGGAAGCTTCATTAGTCATAATAAAAAGCAGACTAAACACAATGAAAAATATAGTCATAGTTATCTTGAAAAAGCATATAAGACAACATTAAAAAAAACCATGATAAATTATATCAGAGATGATAGATATGAAAGACAAAAAGATCTAACATGTGCATCACTGGTGTTCCTGAAGAAGAAGAAACAGAACTGGAATAAAAAATTTTTTTCAAAGTTCTAACAGGAAAAAAGAAACCGTGAAATCAAAACTAGTCTAAAAATCAAAAGGGCAAACTGTGTCCCAGGAAAAATGTTATAAAGACTAATAAATTCCAAGACATATACTGGTGAAGTGATTTCAAATTAAGACAGACTTTTCAGACATGCAGGAAGAAAATGCAAATTATGTATAAGGGGGAAAATCAGGCTGGCTTCAATCTTCTTTATAGCTACACTCAACACCAGAAAAGAGTAGACTAGAAGTTCTAAACGAAAATCATATTTTTATGGGTTGAATTCTCTCAAAACTTTTGTGTTGAAGTCCTAACCTCCAATATGTTAAGAGTGTGACCTTATTTGGAGAGAGGGTCTTTACAGAGGTAAGCAAATTGACATACGGTCATTAGAGTAGAATCTAATCCAGCATGACTGGTATCCTTTTAAAATTGGGAAGTTTGTAAACAGAAACAGGAAAGACAATATGAAGACACAAGGTGATGATGGTCATCTTCAAGCCAAAAAGAGAGGCTTGGAATAGCCCCCAGATGGAACCAATTCTGCCAACACCTTGATTTTGAGCTTCTAGCCTCCAGAACTGTGAGACAATAAATTTCAGTTTTTTAAGGCATCCAGTTTACTGTACGTTGTTCCGGCAGTCTTGGAAATCTTAAACGAGTATGATGCAGCTATTTTATAGCTAGTCTTCATTTCTTTCAGATTTATAGACAACAAACACGTGGACCAAACAAGCCTGTAAGAACTCAGAGAATACAGCACCTATAAACCTTCTTCAACAAAGAGTACTTGCATATTTAGTCAACCAAGTGATAAATGGAGGCTGAGATGAAGAATGGAGAAATTCTAGTAAAACTACTGATAGTAAACATGAAGATTCAAAATTGTGGAAATTATTGTTTCAGAACAAAATTATAACGTTACAAACCTTAGCAATATAATAATAATAATAAGGCTAAAACAATACACTCAAATTGGGTGGTGGGCATTAAATTCCAAATCTTTCACAACACATTTAAAACATGCTATGTACAGTTTCTGGCATATAGATGATAAGGTTATTAGTAATGGTCTGGGAATATAATTTAAACACATGGAAAATAATATTTACAATTTTTAGTTATAAAATAAATTTGATTTACATTTTTAAAGGAAGAATTTTTTAAAAGATTTTTTTCTTCTTTGACTTAACTTTTATATGCTTTTAATTGACAGAATGTTAGTAACAATACATATTAGCAGGCAAACCAGAAGGAGAAGCATTTGACATCTTACTCTTTCAAGGGGACTGAGTCAGAGATTAGCCTAATAGAGTGAATGACTGAATTAAGAAATGGTTCAGAACTAGTTAAGAAGGCTAAGATGAAGCATTCTTAGATATAAAAAGTGTGAGTAAATCAAAGAATATACAAGATGTTCAACTTTAATGAGGGTCTTGAACAAATATCTTTAGGAAAGAAATAAATGTTAAGATGAAGTAGTTATAGATAAATTACTTTGAGACTAACACATACCTCTGAAACTGAAGCTTCCATCAGAGACAGCGGAGGAGGAACACATCCACTGTCTTGTGCAATTTCCACTGGTTGATAAATAACCTCTGAAGGTTGCAGGTATAAGAACGGAGCAGAAGAGGCAGGAGACTAAAATGCAAAATAGTATTTCTAATTAAAATAGGATTAGTTATTTCAATTAAACCAAATGACTTACCCAATACATGAAAGAAATATTGGTTTCTTATTTTCCTAAAGTTGTTTTTCAGGCACAGCACTAAAGTATCTTAGCAACAAACTAGTAACTCTGTATTGTTATAAATTCCAATTATGTGGATGTTATTAAAAAACGTTAACACTTATAAGTACTAAAAGTTCTTAGTACTTCAGAACCTCATATATAAATCAGATAATAATTAAGATCACAATTAAAGGTTGTAATAATATAACCTATGGTATTTAAATTGGCATAAATGTCTATTCTCAGCTTTCTGACTTCCCATGGAAATGGGAAATGTCATTAAACAACCTTTTCAGTGGTATACTATTTGTTATCAAAAGTTGGGAGATGGAATACTTATTTAGGAGCACAAATAAAACTGAAGTAAAATCTGAAGTAAAGCTAGAAAAATGCTGTATTTTCTAATAATACTAATAGTAAAAAGTAAATTTTCATTTCAGTTTGTATAGCACTTATTTATAAAATGCTTTCACTTACAAAAATCATGTGAGGAAACTTTTAAAGGTATAGTATTACTACTTTCACTTTACAAATGAGGAGGCTGAGAAATAGTGATTAAATGAATTTCCAAAGGTATCACAGTTAATAGAAGAAGGTCTCAAATCTAGTTCTGTCTTAAATATTCATGCACTCTTCACAAAAACCATGAAAAAAGTTAATACTTACCTGAGGAACACCCCACTGCCACTGTCCTGGTAGACACTGTGCAGGGGCCTAAAGTGAAAAAAAAATCCATGCCAATTATAAACAAGGGTTAAAACTGGATATCTACATGCAAAAGTATGAAGTTGGACCCCTACATTTCAAATCATATTACAAAACATTAACTCAAAATGGGTCAAAGACCTAAATGTAAGAGCTAAAATTATAAAACTCTTAGAAGAAAACATAGGTGTAAATCTTTGTGATTTTGAAATAGACAATTAAATATTATGATCTCAAAAGCACAAGCAACAAAGCAACAAAAGAAAAAAGATAAACTGGACTTCATCAAAATTAAAAATTTCCGTGCTGCAAAAGATACCATCAAGGAAGTGAAAATAAACCCACAAGATGGGAGAAAATATTTACAAATTATATATCTGATAAGAAACTTGTATCTGGAATATATCAAGAACTTTTATAACTCAATAATAAAAGGCAAGTAACCCAATTTAAAAACTGGTAAACAACGTGAATAGTACATTTTCCCGAAGACAATATACAAAAATGGCCAGTAAGCATATAAAAGACATTCAACACCATTAGCTTTGGGTTATGGAAATCAAAACTACAAATTATTATCACTTCACATTCACTAGGATATAATAAAAAAGGTAGATATTAAGTATTGGCAAGGATGTGGAGAAGTTAGAACTCTCATAAACTGCTGATGGGAGTGTAAAATGGTGCAGCCTTTTGGGAAAATACTGTAACACTTCCTTGAAAGGTTAAATATAGAGATGCCATATGACCCAGTGATTCCACTCCTAGATATAAGACCTAAGAGAAATGAACACATGTCCACACAAAAATTTGTACACAATGTTCACAGCAGCATAATTTGTAAGAGCTAAAAAGTGGAAATAACCCAAATGTCCATCATCACATGAATGGATAAACAAAATGTGGTATATCTGTGTAACGCCCAAAACAGGAAAATCTATAGACAGAAGGTAGATTACTGGTTGTCTAGGACTGGGATTATGGGAAAGGGAAATGGCTGCTAGTGGGTAAGGTTTTTAAACTTTTTTGGTGGTACAGTTGCATAACTCTTGTGAATTTAGTAAAAAAAATCACTCTATTGTACACTTTGAATAGGTGAATTGTATGGTATGTGAATTATATCTAAATAAAGCTGTTATTTAAAAAAAGGAGGGTCAAATTATTTAAGAGTATTTATTGTAAGATGACAATATAAAAGACTATTTCTTAAATTAGTTGTATTATTTCTTAATAATAATTTTTAGCTTATTTTCCACATTTGATAAAGTCTTTTTATTATTGAAATAAAAAAACAGAAAAAAAGAAGATCCCATGAATTTACCATCTAAACTTTTAGTTTAGTTCTGACCACATCAACTGCTAATGGATGATATCACTGTACTATAATGATGACCAAGATAAGGTGAGCTCTCTGATCTGTGTACCATATTCAAAAAGGCAGGATAATGTATGATGTCTTAAGAAAGTATTTTAATAAAAAATCTGATTTAAAGATTTCTATCTAGGTTTGTAGACAAACAAAATCATTATCTACTTAAGAAGTGAGAAATAAGGAGATAAATACTGACTGAACCATGCATTACCTGATTTTACTAACAAAAATTGGTAAAGCTGTCAATCTTAGAATTTATAAAAAGAAGGAGCAAGAGAAGATGCTTATCAAAGTAGCAATTTTAGGGGAAGAATGATGATAAATAAATTTATAACTGGAAAGAAATGTGTGAAGTGAAATTATTTCTTTTATTGCAAAATATTAGTATGTTACAAACTGGTACCAAAATCATTCCTGAGTATATCTCGGTAACATACTTACAATTTTGTAATTTGTGTCAAGTGGAAAACCAGAGTCAAAGTATAAAATTAAATTGTATTAGAAATTTTTTAGAACACATTTAGGTCATGTATGTATATATGTAATCAATTAATGAAGGAGGAGCTGGACTCCACAAGGTGTAAGAAGAAAGCAACTTTATTCCGTCTCACCCTTGGCACTTTAACAGCACTGTGTCGAAACTGGTGGTTACCAGTGGTGAGAGGGATGGTCGGTGGTGGGGGAGGGATATGATAAGGGTAGGAGATTAAAAGCTGCAAACTACTATGTATAAAATAAATAAGCTATAAGAATATATTGTACAGCACAGGGGATATAGCCAGTATTTTATAATAACTATAAATGAAGTATAACCTATAAAAATTTTGAATCACTATGTGGTATACCTGTAGCTAATATATATAACATTGTAAATCAACTATACCTTAATAAAAAAAGAATAAATAAACTTTTCAAAGAGTAAAACAAACAACCAAGGGAAAAACACAATTCTGTGTTGAGCCGTTCTTCCTTGCCCCTGGATAAAAATTCAGATAGATCACTTCTGGGGGTGGGGCAGATTCCAAGTAGTAACACTCTGGTTAGGTACTTTACCAGATTTTTTGGTGATCTCCCTGCTGAGAACTTCTGACTGCAATTCTAGACCTTGATTCTAGGGGTTCACTTCACATAGATTTTTTTCTCTCCTAGGGTGAGCTTAAAGTTTTTTGGAAACAGTCTCTTCTGTGAGGTTCATATCTTGCTTTGGGAAATATAAACCTTCGTTTGCTGTTAGGCATTTAACACTTTCCCACTGTACCCTTCTCTTCTGACTTTGCCTCCATAGACCACTCCAGCTTCTTCAGATACTTTTTAGGTGAGGTCTGGTCCAAGTGGTACTATCTCACAAACTTCAGGGGACAAATATTAAACTCTCATTCTCTGAAGTCATCTTTACTTGATTGAGGAGAATGGGAAATGCAACTCTCTCGTTAAAGAAAGCCTCATCACCAACCTCTCTTATTAACTGCATCCTCATACGTGCTCAAGGTAGTCAATAAGCTAAGGGTCCCAAAACTGGTTTCACCAGTTTTGGTTTGTTATGCTAAATGGCCTGGTACCTAATGTTCTGTATTTGGGGTCCCTGTCAAAATTTTGAGGCAGCTTAGAAAAAGTCATGCTATATACATATTTTAAATAAATGCCATTTACTTACTTTCATTTTTACTAAGTGAAGAAAACACTCTAGATAATCTTTTTATATTTAGCATAGTAATAGAATTTAAAAATAACTGACCTCCCCAAAACCTAGTCTAATACTAAAAATAATTCCAGTACTGTACTGTAATTTCATGTGGGTCTATTTAAAAAGTTCAAAAAGAAAAAAAAAACCCAGAAATAAATTCTCTTCCACTGTTCCAAAGGTATGAAACAATGTGACTTTATTTGTGAATGCTATTGATGACAAGTTGGCAAACTTTTTCTGTAAAGGGCCAGAGGATAAATAGTTTAAGCTCTGCAGGCCACAGAATCTCTGTCGCAGCTTCTCAATTCTGCCACTGCAGCACAAAGGAGCCACAGACATCATGTAAACGAATATGGCTGTATTTCAATTATGCTTTATTTACAAAACACCAAAGTGGTCTGGCATTACTGTTCACTTATCCCCAATTTCCCACAAGAATTAATGAAATAAAGAGGATTGTTTAACTAAATATATTATACAATATGTTACTTATTTTAATATACATTTATTAAGCATAATAACTAGAAATTGACATAAGGTTAACAGTAACATTAAAAAAAATCAGCCTGTGGTCCAAAATCTTTATCTTCCTTTGGGAATTATTTCTAAAGTCTTTTTAGATTAAACGTTAGCCACAGGAGCAAAACTGACCTCATTACATTTGCTAAAAGGAAATAAACAGTCCATCTTCTTGTATGATATTGTTTAATTCCTTCATAAAAAAAGCAAAATACCACTGCTATCAAGGCTTAACTTTTTAATTACTAGAAAATTTGTATGAGAGGGAAGAAAATGAAAGTTACTCAAAAAGGACTGAAAGTATCAAAGAAGATTTTATAATTTAATGTTTACCTGGTAGTGATATGCAGGTTGCTGATAGACAGGCTGAGCTACCATCACAGGGGAACTAGATATAGAACGTGACTGTAAGAGGAAAAACAAAACAGAAAAGTTATTTCAGGCAAAATTCTTTAAAATAGTTTATAATAAAATTTATCTCACACTGTGACCTAAACGCAGCCAACTTACGGTTTATGATGGAAATGTCATTTTCTACCTCTTATTGATATTGTTACAATTCCATTTAGCTCTAATTTTATAAGTCTAAAATTATCACAGTATTTTTACTTCCACATGGTTTCACTTCCACAGCAATGCTAAAACCACCACCAGAAAAGCTGCTTTTAGTCCAAAGATTATGAGTTCTAAGAGAATATTTAGAACAAAATGGCAGCTAGACTTAAGGTAACACTGCCTATTTCCACTGTAGAGACCAGCAGTAGAATAATGTTTACATAGCATTTAGAGCTGAATGAATAATCATTATCTGATTTTGCCACTGATTTCCCACTACCTATAAATAATTAACATCCTATTTCCTTGTTATACATTTAATTAAAACAAATATTTATTTACTGAAGCATTTGTTAAGTTGTATTTATTAATCTGATATTTAAATGAGTTAATCATCCAATAAACTTAAAGGTGATTTATTATGTTTGAAGAAAGTACATCTAACAGTTGGTTATTCAAAGTAATAGAGTGAACCCCCAAATTGGTCATTTAAAACTAGACCATTAATAAAACAGCGAAGTTGTATTACAAAATAGGTAAAATAGGCTTTAATGATAGCAATTAAAATTCAATTTCTAACATGGAATATAATTTACATTGTTTTAACGTTTACCCCCTCAAACTAAAGAAAAGTATCATAGTTTTGCATAATTTTCAGACTACCATGTGCTAGTAAAATTGTGCCACAGATTAACATTAGAAAATGATAATGTAATTTACTGTACTTAGAATAATGGAGGAAAAAATGATAATCTCAGCAGATACAGAAAAAGCATTGTGAAAATTCAATACCCTTTCATGATAAAACCTCTTAAGTAATCCACATAAAAAGTAACTTCCTTACTTGATTTAGGGCAATAAGTCACAACCTGGTGGGATTTTACCCTCCTAGGAAACAGTTGGTAATATTTTGGTTCTCATAAATGGGGGGAGGCTAGGATACTGCTAAAAATCCTGCAATGTATTGGGTCAGTCTCCCACAACAAAGAATTAGTCATTTGGCCCAAAATGTCACTAATGCTAAGGTGAAGAAATCTTGGTTAAGGTTAAGAGTATCTTCCAAAACCTACATATAAAGCATGAAAGCACAACACTGATAGTGAATCACTGAACTTGTTTCCTTTTTTAAGAACAAGGTTATGGCATTATCACATAAATACTGTAGCAGAGACATTGCCAGTGCAATAACTTGTGAAAAAAAAAAAACAGAAACAAAAGAGCAGAAAGAGAGGAATACTGAGTCATAAATGATTGCCTATAGGAGAGTTTGGCAGGGTTACTGATAAAATATCAACATTTATGAATCAAAAGCATACTACACACCAGTCACAACCTATTGGGAAGTGTGATTAAAAAAAATGCCATTCATAAAAGCAACAAAAACTACAGAGTACCTAAGAGTAAATCAAACAAATGATGTGTCAAATTTTTTTATGGAGAAAGCATAATGTTTATGAATGGGAAAATTCAGTATTATGCTTAAATGTCCCACATTAATGTATATATTTAATGCAATTATAATAAAAACAAAGGCTTTTCACAGAGCTGAACAAGCTGAATTACAACATTTATATTTATACAAGCAAAGACTTCAGGATAGATGAGAGACTCCTAAAGAACAGAGTGAGATTATTGCTCTATCAGTTTCTAAGACTCATTGTAAAGCAACAGGAAGGGAGAACAAATATACCAATGGAACGTAACAGGGAGCCCAGAAGGAGACTCCCACGCACAGAAATTAGGCATTTGACAGAAGATTCATTTCAAAACAGTGGAAGAAGATGAATTAGTCAATACATAAACTTCAGATTTAAGATCTAGATGTGAACAACAGCAACACCATGGTATTTTTTTTTTAAACTAGACACAAATCTGAAACCATAAAAGAAAAGATTAATACATCTCTCAACATTAAAATAAAAAACTTCTGTATGACAAAAAAATACTATAAAGTTAATGGACAAGGCACAAACCAGAAGATATTTACAATGCACAAAATTCATATAATGAACTCAAGAAAAAGACAAACAATCCCAATAGAAAAAATGGGCAAAAGATAACGGAGAGGCAGCTCACAGGAAGAAACTTAAGTGGGAAATAAATAAAGGAAACTATGTTCAGTCTTACCACTGGCTCAGCAAATGAAAGGTAAAACAAGATACCATTTCATGATACTATTGGCAAATCTAGTAAATTAAAGGACTGGCAGATTATGGAAAAACTGAAGCTCTCATAAACAGTTAACTAACTTGTATACTGGTACGCTTTAGAAAGATATTTGGCAACATCTACTCAAAGATGTGTATACTCTAGAAATGTGAAATTCTGCTTCTACACATATATTGTAGCCCAGACCAAGGCAGGGGAACACAAAAATCTTCCAGTGGTACCTGGGAATGAACAGGTTTAAGAGTGCTAATTTTCAGGTATTTCATATGGCCTCCTTCCTGATTTGATCTGTGAATGTATCTGTGTAAAATGGATTCTTCTTTTCAAAATTCCCCTTTCACAATTACTCTTTCCCTTCATTATGAAAGGCACACTCTCACTTATTCTGGATCTTGCTATAATGTGTTGTTCAGGAATGTAAACACTAACAGGGCATCAAACAAATAGACAATTCAAGAGAGCAATACCCTTCAGAAATAGGAGAGAGCAAAGAAAAAAGAGCTTATATAAGAAATATTAAGGGGGAGTTGGTACCTTATTTCATATCCAGGGAAGAAAATAAATTATGTGATGGTCACAGGAATACATATTAATTCATTTATTTGAACTTAAAAATAAAGCCATAATTTTCTAATAGAAACTAAATTTTATTTGATTGACTAATTTTATTTGGTTGACTGGTTTTGTTAACTAAGTTATAGAGCAGATTTTTCCGTTTTTCTAAGGTATAATTGACACATGATATACTAGTTTCAGGAGTATAACATAATGATTATACATATATATATATATATACAAAAAATGAAATGATAACCACAATGAGTCTAGTTAACATCCATCACTACACATAGGACATTTTCCTTAAATGAAATCTGTAGCTACAAAGTTTTATAAAAATATGTCTAAAGCAAATCTATAATATTTAATATGTCCAAACTATTTTTAATTATGGTAAATTTCAGATATCAACTTAAAAATGAGTGACAGTATTCGTAATTTTTCCAAAAAACTTTAGAGGATATATAAGCAGAAACTTTGAAGACCACTGTCCTAGATAAGCTCTCATGCAATATATACCAAATCTAGATGTTCAATGTGGTCTTGATTATAGAAAAAACTGAAAATGCCTATGAACAGGGGAATATATACTCATACAATGGAATATATAAAAAATTGAAGTAAGTGAACTAGATATACTAGGCTCAACATGGTTTAATCTCAAAAATACAGTGCTGAATAGAAAAACTAGATTATTTATATAGTATTTAAAAACCACCAAAAGGAACACTGTATATCTATTGTTTAAGGTTATCTACATTTGTAGTAAAAACATATCCAGTTTTTTTTTAGGAAACAGGAAAGATACTCTGGTTACCTCTGAGGAGGAAAAGAGGGTAGGATAATGAGGGTAAAGAGGCTTTACTTGAATTTATCATATTTTACACCTGCCATTGAAAGAACTTAAGTAAACATGGCAAAATGTTAACATCTATTAAATCTGAGTGGTCGCTATATGGCTGTTATATTATTATTTGTATTTGTTTGTGGTTGAAATAGTTCAGAAATAAAAAATTTAACAGTAATAGATGGAAATCCTTCTAAAATGAAATAACTTACAGGCCAAGGTGGTGGAACAGAAGTTACCTCTGGAGTTTGAAAATAAGCAACACCATTATGGTAAGTGTAAGGATATCCAGTTGAAGTTGTTAGATACATTGTTCCAGCTGCTGGCATAACACTAGAACCTAAAATGAAGATTAAATAGTAATAACTGAAATGTTCAGTTTAACATTTGAAAATATAATTTCTGAACACTGGAAAATGTTTCTCTTAATACATGTAATATAACTACAGTAAAAATGGAATGTTACAAGTTCTTGAAAAATTCCGTATCTTAACATATCTTTGAAGTATATATTTTCAAACCTACTACCTTAGAGCTTTTATTAGCTTAAGGTGAGTAAAAGAAAAAGAAACAAGTTTAACAAGGAATGTTAAAAATTTACCAATTCAGATTTTAATACCAGTATAATGAAACATAACACTTAACTGAGATTATTATTAGCAAAGTCATTATTTTTACAAATATAAATTACATTTAATTTAAAGTTACCTCAAGACTCCAGACACTGTAGTGAAGTTCCTAAGATCTTAGTAAGACCTTGACCTTTTATTTGTACAAGGTCAAAGATGATGGAGGCAGTGAGGCTGGACAAGTTCTACTTTCTTCAGGACACTTGTTCCACCCTGCAGGTTCTTTGGATCTACTATCAGCAAGCATTCACTCATGCTATGACTAACTTTTATTCTCTAGTCTCCCTTTTGCTCTAACTGCTGCTGTTGCAAACATGACCACAGATCTTCATGTTGCTAATTTTGGGTCCTCATCTCTTTTCCCAGGTCATGTATACTCCTTTCCCCCAAATAAAAAAATAATTTTTTATTAGGAGGAGACTAAAAATTTTATATGCCAAGCTAGAGTTAAGTACTTGACCAGCAAGGTTATATAAAGCACTGAACTGGCAATTCTCCACCCACTATACTAGCAGTTCTCAAAACTTAAAATACATTGTAATAACCTAGACAGTTCATCAAAATACAAATTCCAGCTCCCCATTTGGAGAGATTCTGATTCGGGAGTTCCAGGACAGGGTCCGAGGAATTGCGTTTCGACAGATTCCAAGTGAACTGCTGGTGTCCGCAAACCACACTACGAGCAGAACGGGCCTACCACTTGAAGGAGCACTACTGCTTCTCGGCTTTTATATTTTCACTGCGTTTCCCCTAGGATTGTTACTGCATATTTTAACGGTTCTTAATTCAATGCTTCTGAGAATTTGATGAGAGTCACAGACCCTTCTCTCGGAAGTATGTACATTCAAACAAAATTTTATACACAATTCAGGAGATTCATGGATTTCTCTCCAAAGATCATTAAGGAACCACAGGTTTATCTGTTAAATAAATAAATTTTGAGTGATTATTATTATAAGGCGTTGAACTAGGGTCTGGTGACACAGCCAAAAAGAGAAAAAAAAAAGTTGAGCATGCCATGGCCTCTATCTTCAAAGAAGTTAGGTTCTGGTGGGGAAGACAGTCATCAGCTAATTGCACGATTAATTAAACACGATTTTGACAAATACATGAAGAGGTAGTATAGGGTATTACATTGGGCAGTATATGATACTATGCTGAACATTTCAAATATATATGTATGTATATATGTAGCATTTGTCAGGAAATGATGTTTGTTTTGGGCTGAGCTTTAAAGAATGAATGGGATGGCAAAAATCATTCTAGGTAAACAAAACAGTATATCAGGAGAATGGTTATGTTCTGAAACTGGAAGAAGGCTAGATGGTTAAAACATGGAAAGAAAAAGGAAGAATAACTCAAAATAAGCAGAGAATAACATTAGATGTGCAATTCTGAAAGATCACTCTGGCTGCTTTGTGTGTGATGGGTTGGAAGGTAGCAAGACTGAATTCAGAAAGACCAGTTAGGAGGTTTTTCTAGTAATTAAGGCAAGCAAAGTGAGTAGCTGCGACTCAAATGTTGGTAATGGAGATGGAAAAGAAATGACAGATTTGAAAAAAAATGAAGATAAAAATCCTTCGTACTTTGTAAATGTACTTTTAATATTTATTATTTCTTCGTAGAAAAGTAAAAAGAGCTTTGGAGTCAAACTCTCCTGGATTTGAAGGCTAACACTACCATTTGGTTAAGTTATTTAACCCCGTACTTCTCAAATTTGGGCATGGGATGGTA